ATTCAAGAGCCACTTGTTCAGTTTCCATGAAGCTGTGCGGTTCTGAGTTAGTTTTTGAATTCTGAGTTCTAACTTGATTGCACTGTGGTCTGAGAGACTGTTTGTTACGATTTCCGTTCTTTTGCATTTGCTGAGGAGTCATTTACTCCCAATTATGTGGTCAATTTTAGAGTAGGTGTGATGTGGTGCTGAGAAGAATGTATATTCTGTGGATTTGGGTTGGAGAGTTCTGTAAATGTCTATTAGGTTTGCTTGGTCCAGGTCTGAGTTCAAGTCCTGGATATCCTTGTGAATTTTCTGTCTGGTTGATCTCTCTAATATTGACAATGGCATGTTAAAGTCTCCCACTGTAATTGTGTGGGAGTCTAAGTCTCTTTGTAAGTCATTAAGAACTTGCCTTATGTATCTGGGTGCTCCTGTATTGGGTGCTTATATATTTAGGATCGTTAGCTCTTCTTATTGCATTGATCCTTTTACCATTATGTAATGTCCTCCTTTGTCTCGTTTGATCTTTGTTGCTTTAAAGTCTAATTTATCAGAGATGAGAATTGCAACTCCTGCTTTTTTTTTCTGCACTCCATTTGCTTGGTAAATCTTCCTCCATCCCTTTATTTTGAGCCTTTGTGTATCCTTGCATGTGAGATGGGTTTCATGGATACAGCACACCGATGGGTTTTGGCTTTTTATCCACTTTGCCAGTCTGTGTCTTTTGATTGGGGCATTTAGTCCATTTACATTTAGGGTTAATATTGTTATGTGTGAATTTGATACTGCCATTTTGGTGCTAGCTGGCTGTTTTGTCCATTAGTTGATGTAAATTCTTCATTGTGTTGATTCTCTTTACCATTTTGTATGTTTTTGGAGTGGCTGGTACTGGTTGTTCCTTTATATGTGTAGAGCCTCTTTCAGGAGCTCTTGTAAAGCTGGCCTGGTGGTTACAAAATCTCTGAGTACTTGTGTGTTCACAAGGATTTTATTTTTCCTTCACTTATGAAGCTTAGTTTGGCTGGATAGGAGATTCTGGGTTGAAAGTTCTTTTCTTTAAGGATGTTGAATATTGGCCCCCACTCTCTTCTGGCTTGTAGGGTTTCTGCTGAGAGACCTGCTGTGAGTCTGATGGGCTTCCCTTTGTGGGTAACCCGACCTTTCTCTCTGGCTGCCCTTAGTATTTTCTCCTTCACTTCAACCCTGGTGAATCTGACAATTATGTGCCTTGGGGTTGCTGTTCTTGATGAATATCTTTGTGGTGTTCTCTGTATTTCCTGGACTTGAATATTTGCCTGCCTTGCTAGGTTGGGGAAATTTTCCAGGGTAATATCCTGAAGAGTATTTTCCAGCTTGGATTCCTTCTCTTCGTTGCATTCAGGTACACCTGTCAAAGATTAGGTCTTTTCACATAGTCCCACATTTCTTGGAGATTGTTTATTCCTTTTTACCCTTTTTTCTCTATTCTTGCCTTCCCATTTTATTTCATTGAGTTGATCTTCAACTTCTGATATCCTTTCTTCTGCTTGGTCAATTTGGCCTTTGACACTTGTACATGCTTAACAAAGTTCTCGTGTTGCGTTTTTCAGCTCCATCAATTCACTTATATTCCTTTCTATTTTGTCCATCCTCGTTAGCATTTTGTCAAATCTTTTTTCAAGGTTCTTAGTTTCTTTGCATTGGGTTAGAACATGTTCTTTTAGTTCACAGAAGTTTCTTACTACCCACCTTCTGAAGTCTGATTCTGTCGTTTCATCACACTCGTTCTCCCTCCAACCTTGTTCCCTTGCTGGTGAGGAGTTGTGATCCCTTGTAGGAGGAGAGGTGTTCTGGCTTCGGGTGTTTTCATCCTTTTTTTGCTGGTTTCTTCCCATCTTTATGGATCTGTCCACCTGTCATCTTTGTAGTTGCTTGCTTTCAGATTGGGTCTCTGAGTGGACGTTCTGTTTGTTGATGATGAGGTTATTTCTGTTTCTTAGTTTTCCTTCTGACGGTCTGGCCCCTCTGCTTACATCTGCTGAGGTCTATTCCAGGCCCTGCTTGCCTGGGGATCACCTGCAGCAGCTGCAGAACAGTAAGGGTTGTTACCAATTTCTTCTTCTGCTATCTTTGTCCCAGGAGGATACCCGCCAAGTGTCAGTCTGCTCTCTTCTGTATTAGGTGGCTCTTTGGATATACAGAGGTCAGGGAGCTGCTTGAGGAGACAGTCTGTTCTTTATAGGAGCTCAAATGCTGAGCTATGAGCTCCGTTGTTCATTCAGAGCTGCTGGGCAGGTACATTTAGGTCTGCTGCAGCAGAACTCATAAACCGCTTTTTGTTCCCAGGTGCTCTGTCCCAGGGTTAGGGCTTTATTTATGAGTTTCCATTATGCTGCTGCCTTCTTTTTTTTCCTTCAGAGCTGCCCTGCCCAGCAAGGGGGCAGCCTCATCACTGTCTGCCTGTAGAGGCTTTGCTGAGCTGCTGTGGGGTCCGCCCAGCTGCCGAGTCAACTTCCCTGCATTCCTGTTTATATGGGTGTAGTCAGAACTGCCTCGGCAATGGTGGCCCGCCTCCGTTAAGGCGGAGTCTCTCTGTAGTGGTGGGTTGCCTTGGCAATGGCGGGCTTCCTCAGTAATGGTGGGTTGCCTTGGCAACGGCAGGCTGCCTCAGCATTGGCTCACTACCTTCGTAGTTTTGGAGTTCCTCGGTAATGGCAGACGCCCCTCCCCCACAGAGCTGTACCGTCCTGGGTTCAGCTGTGCTTGCTGTGAAACTCTCAATACAGAGAGTTTCTGATTGCTGTTCTTTTGTGGGTGTGGGACCAGCCGAGCCTGATCACCTGGCTCCCTGCCTCAGAGTCTTTTTATTTTTTAAGTTGGTGTTCCAGTCGCCTGTTGAAGAGGCACCGTGATCTGTATGTTTTCCCACATGGCGACTCACTGCGCTGGCTTAAACAGTGGCACTGAGATTCGTGGCACTTTTTTTGCCGTGGAACATACTGTCCTGTTTCCCTGTTCAGTCCCGTTTTTAAACAGATGAATGGGCGACTTCCTGAGGCTCCAATCGCGAGCCAAAAGGGCACCCGGGCCAGTGTATTTTGTATGGAAACCACTGCACCAGGGTGCTGACAAAGCAGCCGCCCGGGGCAAAGCAGTGGCGCTGGCCGACTCAGCCGCGCTGGCCGTCTCAGCCACGCTGGCCGAAACAGTCGTGCTGGTTACCCGTGGAGCTCCTCTGCCTGGGAATTTCCTAGTCTGTGGGCAATAAAAATGCAGCATCCACTCACCCTCTGCGCTTTCACTGGGAGCTGCAATCCTGAGCTGTTCCTAAGCGGCCATCTTGGATCGACTCTCCTAGAGTAGTATACTTTCATTTCCTCTCTCCTAGCCAGATTCGTGAGATTATAGTTTTCATTAAGCTTAGAAAGTTTCTGGCCATTTTATCTTTATGTTTTGTCTTTCTACCTTTCTCTTTGGGGATTTATATATTATTGCTTAAAGTTTTCTCATAGTTCTCTGATATCTCAAATTTTTGAATCTTCTTTGTGATATCTAGTCTATATTTACTTCCACTCAGCGTTGTTTTCAGTCCTGACTTTTTTTTTGAGACCAGTTTCACTCTGTTGCCCAGGTTGGAGTGCAGTAGATCCATCACCACTCACTCCAACTTCTGCTTCCCGGGTTCAAGCAATGCTCCTGTCTCAGCCTCCTGAGAAGCTGGGGTTACAGGTGTCTGCCATGATGCCCAGCTAATTTCTTTGTATTTTTATTAGAGAGGGGGTTTCATCGTGTTGGTCAGGCCGGTCTTGGACTCCTGACCTCAAGTGATTTGCCTGCCTCAGCCTTCCAAAGTGCTGGGATTACAGGTAAGAGCTACCATAACTGACCTAGTCCTAACATTTTAATTTGAATTCCTACTAGTGCAGTTTGCTTTCAAAAAATACCTTCCATGCCTCTACTTGAAATTTATTTGTAGACACAGTTGACTTACTTATAAACAACCTGATCTTTCTGATCTTGCATTATGATTTGGTCTAACTTTCCACTCCTGAGGTAAGGTGTTTCTGATAACATTATTCTTTGCTTTGTGAAATTTTTCTGGTATCAGTTATAGGAATGGACACTCTTCCTGGTATATTGTGAGCAACAGGCACTATTTCTTCTAATTTTTTAGGAAATATTCCCCTGGTCTCAAGTAGTTTCCTAGCACACATGTAGTGTTCATTACTCTGTTAGATAAATACCCAAGGGGATATTTTTGCAGATCTCCATTGTTCTTTTCCTGTACTGTTGTCATCTTTCCAGTGTTCTGTTTTGTGATTTCTGTCTACCTTGGTTTTTTGAGACTCTCAGCTTCATTGTGCCAAGTCAAGGAATCTGGTGGACTCTACCTCAGCTTTTTTTTCTCCTGGTATCATGGCCTGGAAACTTTGTCAAGTTAGGGAGCTGGGGTGTTTGTAAGGCTTACTTCATTTGTTTCCTGTCTTACAGGGATCATTGTCTTCATTACCTAAAGTCTATGTTCTTGAAAATCATTGTAGTATGTGTTTTGTCTGTTTTGTCTTTGTTTTAGACAAGAAGGTAAATCAGTATCTGCTGCTCCATTGTGGCCAGAAGCAGAACTGCAGCAGAGCTTCAGCACATTCCGTAGACTTGCTGGAATGTTTTTCTGCATCTTTTACTTACCTGCTTCCTTCTCGTCCTTCATTACTCAGCATAGCCATCTCTTTTCCAGGGAAATCTTCCTGAGCCCAGTATATATCAAATTCTGTGTGACAGTAGAACTGTTTTCTTGCAGCATCTATGTGAATTTGTAATTTCACTTTTATTGCCCTTGTTCTTCAGTACACTTAAAACTAAACAAGAGCAGAGCTATTGTTTGTTTTATCTGCAGAGCTCAGTATAATGTCTTCCACATGGTAGGAAATCAGTGCACATTTGTTTGGTGTATGGATGGGTGAATGTTAAAATGCACAGGACTTTATATCCAAAAAGTACTCATATGTTTTATTTCTACCTTGTTTTCACCAATGCAGATTTTGCTAGCCTGTCAAAAATCCAGGATGCAGTTGTTTCCGATGAACACTTACTAAAACTTCAAAATAACCACTGGGAACAACTTACAGTAGAAATTGAACAAATGGAAAATATGATTGATGTACTAGAGAAGGAGCTATCTGAAGCAAAGGAAACAAAATTACAGTTACAGCATCAAAAAGGTGAATTTGAGCAAGAACTCTCCACTTTGAGGTATGATACAGTATTCTAGTTTAAAAAAATATTTTAACTTTTTATTTTACACCAAAGATAAAAGTGAGAATTGTTCTGATTGCTGACTTTCTGGGGCTTAATGGGAGAAAATGTCTTGGTCTTGTGGAGTATGAAAATCTTGGAAATAATATAACAAATTCTTCATTATGACTCTTATAATAATTGCATATTCTTTTATTTTATGATTTTAATGGGTATATAGAAGTCCGCCATACAGAAATCTCATAATTTAACAAATTGAATGTGGAGTTTTAAATTCTTTTGTGTTAGAATTAATGCTGCAAGGAACATCTTTTATTATTGTTATCATTATTACCATTATCATTATTAGACACTATTATTAGACGTTATTATTAGACAGGGTTTTGCTCTGTCACTGAGGCTAGAGTGCAGTGGTGCGATCATAGCTCACTACAGCTTTGAACTTTTGGGCTCAAGGGATCATCTTGCCTCAGTTTTTTAAGTAGGTAGAAGTATAGGTACACACTGGCATGCCTGGCTAACTTTTTAAACTTCATCAAGACAAGGTCTCACTATGTCGCCCAGGATGATCTCCAACTCCTGACCTCCAACAATTGTCCTGCCTGAGCCTTCCAAAGCATTGGGATTAAAGGCATGAGCCATTACACCCAGCCCAGAACATCTTTTCTATAAATTATTTTCTACATTTTGAATTATTACTTTAAATAAAGTTTTCAATATATAATTTTTTATTTAAAATATGGAAACTTTTTAAAAAAGGCCTTGGATCAATATTTCTAAATTGTCCTCAGGAATATTTGTATTTAACACATGCTGGGGTTAATACCTAGGTGATGGATTGATAGATGCAGCAAAGCACCATAGCGCACGTTTACCTATGAAACAAACCTGCACATTCTGCACATGTACTCCAGAAATTAAAAATTAAAATTAAAAAATAATATTTGTATTAATTTACAGTTCAACCAACAGAGCATGAAATGGCCATTTGTCTCAAATCAGAATACTTTAAAAAAACTTTATACAATTTTTTTCTTTTTACTCTGTGTTTAAATTTATTTATTTTTATTTCAGCAGCTTTAGGGGTACAAGTTACATGGATGAATTGTATAGTGGTGAAATCTGGATGTTTGCGTGGATGAATTGTATAGTGGTGAAGCCTGGGATTTTAGTGTACCCATCACCCAATAGGTAGTTTTTATTGCTCATCTTTCTTCTATTCTTCCTTCTTCTGAGTTTCTGATGTCATTACACCACTCTGTTTGCCTTTACATTCCCATATCACAGCTCCCACTTGTAAAAGAGAGCATGTGGTATTTGTTGTTTCATTCCAGGGTTACTTTACTTAGAATAATGGCCTCTAACTATCCAGGTATCTGCAAAAAACATTATATTCTTCTTCTTTATGGCTGAGTAATATTTCTGTGGTATGGGTGTGTATACACACACACACACACACATACATATATGTATAGATATCACATTTTCTTTATTCTAGACACCAGTTGATGGATACTGGTTGATTCCATATCTTTGCATATTGTGAATTGTGCTGCAGTAAACATATGTATGCAGGTGTTTTTTTGATATAATAATTTATTTTATTTTGGGTAGATAACCAGAAATGAGAATGCTGGATAGAATGGTAGGATGTACCTTTATTAGTTCTTTGAGAAATCTCTGTACTCTTTTCCATAGATTTTGTACTAATTTGGATTCCTACCAGCAGTGTATAACTGTTCTGTTTTTGCCACAGCCACACCAATATCTATTGTTTTTTGATTTTTAATAATGGCCAGTTTGGCTACAATGAGGTGATGTCTCATTGTTGTTTCATTTTACATTTCCCTCATAAGTGATGTTTAGCATGTTTTTAAATGCTTGTTCACCATTTGTATATCTTCTTTTGAGAAATGTCTATTCATGTCATGTGCCCACTTTCTAATGGAATTATTTGTGTTTTTCCTGCTGATTGGTTTGAGTTTCTTGTAGATTATGGATATTAGTCCTCTGTTAGATTCATAGTTTGCAAATATTTTTTCTCATTCCATAGGTTGTTGGTTTACTCTGATGATCATTTCTTTTGCTGTGCTGAAGCTTTTCACTTTAATTAGGTCTTACTTATTTACTTTCATTTTGTTGCATTTGCTTTTAGGGTCTTCCCCATAAATTATTTGACTAGGCCAGTGTTTTCAGGTCTTAGGTTTAGGCCTTTAATCTGTCTTGAATTGATTTTTGTATATGGTTAGAGATAGAGATCCAGTTTCATTCATTTACATGTGGCTATCTTTTTTTTCCAGCACCATTTATTGAATAACATGTACTTTCTCTAGCATATTTTTGTGTATCCTTTCTCTCTTTTTCTTTTAATTGCATTTTAGGTTTTGGGGTACATGTGAAGAACATGCAAGATTGTTACATAGGTACACACATGGCAGTGTGATTTGCTGCCTTCCTCCCCTTCACCTATATCTGGCATTTCTCCCCATGCTCTCTCTCCCCAACTCCCCACCCCCAATGTCCCTCCCCCATTTCCCCCAAACAGACCCCAGTGTGGACCTAGAAATAGAAATTCCATTTGACCCAGCAATCCCATTACTGGGTATATATCCAAAGGATTATAAATCGTTCTAGTATAAGGACACATGCACACGCATATTCATTGCAGCACTGTTTACAATAGCAAACACCTGGAACTAACCCAAATGCCCATTGATGATAGACTGGATAGGGAAAAAGTGGCACATATACACCATGGAATACTATGCAGCCATCAAAAACGATGAGTTCATGTCCTTTGTAGGGACATGGATGAACCTGGAAACCATCATTCTCAGCAAACTGGCAGAAGAGCAGAAAATCAAACACCACATGTTCTCACTCATAGGCGGGTGTTGAACAATGTGTATCCTTTCTCAAAGACCATTTGCTTGTAAGTGGCTTTATTTCTGACTTGACTATTCTATTCCATTGATCTGTGTACTACTATTATACCAGTATCATGCCGTTTTTGTTACTGTAGACTTAGAGTATGATTTGAAGTCGAGTAATGTGATGCCAACATATTTGTTCCTCTTGCTTGGTATGTCTGTTGTTATTCAGGCTCTTTCATGGCTCTACATAAATGTCAGCATTTTAAAATGATTCTATGAAGAATGACCTTGGTATTTTGTTAGGAATTGTATGGAATCTGTAGACTGCTTTGGGCACTCTAGTCATTTTTAAAATATCCGTTCTTTCAGTCCATCAACAGGGGATGTATTTTCATTTGTGTCATCTATTATTTCTTCAGTGGTGTTTTCCAGTTATCCTTATATAGGTCACTCACCTCCCTCATTAAGTATATTCCTAGGCATTTTACACTTTTGCAGCCATTGTAAAAGGGATTGGGTTCTTGAAATGACTCTCAGCTTTGTTGTAGTTGGTGTATAGTGGTGATACTGATTGATATTCATTTATTTTGTAACTTCTGAGACTTTACTGAATTCATTTATCAAACCTAGAGGTGTTGGCCAGGCATGATGGCTCACGCCTGTAATCCCAGAACTTTGGGAGGCTGAGGCAGGTGGATCACCTGATGTCAGGAGTTCAAGACCATCCTGACCAACATGGAGAAACCCCGTCTCTACTAAAAATACAAAATTAGTTGTGTGTGGTGGTGAGTGCCTGTAATTCCAGCTACTAGTGAGGCTGAGGCAGGAGAATTGCTTGAATCCAGGAGGTGGAGGTTGCAGTGAGCCGAGATCACACCATTGCAATCTAGGCTGGGCAACAACAGGGAAACTCCATCTAAAAAAAAATATCTAGGAGTGTTTAGTAGGAATTTTTATGGTTTTCTAGGTATAAGACAATATCATTGGGGAAGAGATAGTTTCACTTCCTCTTTTCCAGTTTGGGTGCTTTTTATTTCTCTTGCCCAGTTGCTTTGCCTAGGAATTCCCAGTTTTATTCTTAGTATTCATTAAATAAAAAGTAAAATGGGAAGTGATTAATGATCGGTTTCTTTTACAGCTCTCATACCAGTTAACATTAATTGTGTTCTACATTAAAATACATGTTGTTCTTCATTGTTTAAATATTAGAGCATGTCTTGTTCCAAAAGGAATTTCTGAGTTGTTCATAAAGTAGATAGGTATCAAGAATGTAAGTGGAAACTGTTTCCAGAAAATAAATATAAAAAGTATGGGTTAACACAGGGCCTCTCAATCCCCAGGCCATGGACCAGTACCAATCCCTGGCCTGTTAGGAACTGGACCACACAGCAGGAGGTCAGTGGCAGGTGAGAAATAAAGGTTTGTTAGTGTTTACAGCCACTTCCCTTCCCTTGCATTATTGCCTGAGCTCTTCCTCCTGTCAGATCAGTGGTGGCATTAGATTGCCCTAGGAGTGTAACTTTACCCTGCTGTAAGCTGCTCATGCAGGGGATCTAGGTTGTGCACTCCTTATGAGAATCTAATGCCTGATGATCTGTCACTGTCTCCCATCAACCCCAGATGGGACCATGTAGTTGCAGGAAAACAAGTTCATGGCTCCCACTGATTCTACATTATGGTGAGTTATATAATTATTTCATTGTATATTATAATTAATAATAATAGAAGTAAAGTACACAATAAATGCAGTGTTCTTGAATCATTTTGGAAACATCCCTCTACCTCAGATCCATGGAAAAATTATCCTCCACAGAACCAATGCCTGGTGCCAACATGGTTGGGGACAGCTGGGTTAACAGATATGATACCCTTTTGCTTTGTCTTGGATTAATCTGCAGATATACATTGTGTTAAAGACATCTGATGGTGACATCTTGCCCTGTAAATCATTTTAGGGATACTTGCAGTATTTCATGAAAATTAAAATTTCTTCTAGTGAATTTATAAACTTGTTTATTTGTAAATAGTGTGTTCTTTTTAATTAGTTAATTTGAAATGATCTGTCCTAATTGAGAAGTTCCTATGACCGTGTGAAAAAGAGGTAATTTTCAACTTGTAACTTTACTGAATAATTTCTAATATGCTTTTCCATAACGTTTATCGGAGTTACTAATAACAAAAACTCACCAATTAGCAAGATTGGTGAGTTTTTTTTTCCTCTTTACATTTCAAGTATTTATCCCTTGGGAGAGAGTGAAGGAATAAATTAAAAGCATGAAAACTAGAAAGAAAAAATAGTCAAAAACACAGAAATTTTATTTGAATAATAAACCTATACAGGAAGAGCTAGATCACAAAATAAACTTTTTTATTTTCTAACAAAACAACTTTTAATATAACTGTATTTAACTGTAGATTGACCTTAAAACAAGAAGAAGAGAAGAAAAGGAATGCAGATATGTTGTACAAAAAAGGTAGAGAGGAGTTAAAAAGAAAACAAGAGGAATATGAAAAAGAAGTTGAAATGAACCGACAACACAGACAGACTCTGCAAACACAAGCCATGGAATTGAGGACAATAAGAAAGAATTCAGATCAGGTAAATTAATTTCTGATAAAAACTTTATATTTTCAATTTTATATTTCATCAATATTACTTATAATGTTCCTTTGATTTAATGTGGTATGTTATTTAGATGTAAAACACACCAGAAGTGTTATCTAATTTTTAAAATGTGCTATGACATTTATAGTCACAGTATTTGTAAACCTTGGCATTTCAGTCTGTGATGCTCAGTCTGTGTTTTCAGAGTGAAGAAATGGAAAATAAATTGAGTAACTATCACTGACATACATGCTCATTTATGGATTTTGATGTTAAAATACAGGCTAAACAGCTTTGAAACTGTAATGAAATGTGTTAAATATATTGACAGAAATTTTATTATGCAATACTGTATCTTTCTGTAGGTAAGAGCTGTTTCTCCTCTTAGAGAAATTTGACTGTAATGTATGCAATTAAAATTTGAATGATTCTTGAGGGTTAAAAGTTTTTGTTTTTTAAGAGGCTACTTTCTTTTAACAGTTTTATAAAAGAGGTTCTGCTCTTTTAGACTTTCTTTTTCAGTCCTATTAAACCAAAAATGTACTGTATCTCTAGGTTGTGCAGGAACAAAATGATAACCAGAAGCAACTTTCTGAAGAACAGAATGGTAGAATATTACTAGCTGAGATTCTGACTGATAATCAAAAGCAGATAGAAGTGGCTGAAAAGAAAATTAATTCTGAGATATTTTCTTTAGTCATTTTCAAATATTTTTATATGTGTATATTTGAAACCCCAACTCTACATATTTTGGAAAGTATAAAGGATTTTTAAATCATACATATATATGTATATATCCTTTATCATGTACCTATATATGTATATATAGGATAAAGCCATGTTCTTAATTCAACTCCATTCACCTGCAGCAGTCTAGTGGTGACATTCACAATGTCCTCTATCCAAAGGAGAAACATTTGATATTTTTCATAAGAATTGAAGTTATTTTTACTATCAAAAATAAGTTTTACTTTTAACAACAGATTTTCTAGTTTTTGGACCTTATTTCATCTTCTTAAAATAGTAATGGAAATGTCAGTTTATTATTTTCACTGATAAGAAAATGTATAGCTGGTTCAGAGGCCATATGGTGGATGTCACTATCCTTACTTTTGAGGAGAGTAACAGTTTACTCCAAGTGGTTTCTCATTTCAATGCAAAGAGCTTTGGAAACAGTGATGTGCCATAATACACATTTAGTGACAATTTATTGATAAGTATTTTGTTCCCAGAGAAATAGTTTAGTATATTTTCCTCTATTTAACACTGATTATTGTTTTAAACATTATAAAGAGGAAATAAAAGTTATTGCAATGGCAAATAATCTCATGAGTTCTAAGAAAAGCTCTATAAGTTTTAACATATTTACCGTTCATATTTTGAAATGAAAGACTTCTTTTATATTTATATATTTATACCATAGAAATAACTATGATTTTGTGGAGGATCACTATAAGTAGCATCAGAAGACCTGGGGAAAATGCTGCATCTTGCATATTTTTAAACCTTTCCTTTTAAGTATTGTTATTTTAGTTGAGTTTAGTGTTGTATGTAGAAGTGCAGTGTTTAGGTGCAGATGTGTACAATGCTTAGATTTAACAGGGATGAATAAATGTAATTCTTATGCCTGACTATACAAACATTAGAAAATTAGAATATTGATAAAACATTCTTCAGAGAAAGGAACTTAAAGAACTTTGAGAAATTGCTTCTATCCACTTATCAGAGTGTAAACACAATTTAAAATATATAGTCAAATGTGTTAATCTTATATTTTATGCCTCTGGGATTTTTACAACTCAGAGAAAGGCTTTTACAATTTTGAGATTCTTAAAAATTCTCTAGTGATTTATTTTTTATGATCTTGAAATAAATATTTAAACTTTTGGGAATTCACATTCTGTTAGGTTTGAAGTTTTGTCCAATGTTTTTTCCAGTTAAATATCCTCTATGGGAATTCTTTCATTATACAAATATACAGGTTACTCTTTAATTTCAGAACAAATTATGTCATTCTATTGAGTGCTAACTAAAAGTTCCCTTTGTTTACTTAGATTTCTCTTAGCCAAAAGAAAGACGAAGATCTCTTGCATGAAAATCGCATATTGCAAGAAGAACTTGCCATGCTAAGACTGGAACTGGACACAATAAAACATCAGAACCAGCTAAAGGAAAAGAAATATTTTGAAGACATTGAAAGGGAGAAAGAAAAGAATGATAGTCTTCTAAATGCTATAAAATTGACTGAGGAAGCATTAGCGAAAGTAGCATTTCAGTACAACGAACAGCTTATCATTTTGACAACTGAGAATAAAATGCTCAGTTCTGAGATGAAGAATGAAAAACATCAGAAGAAAAGGCTGGAAACGGAAATTCAGTCATCTCATGGTAGACTAGCTACTGCCCTACATGATGGTGACCAAAGTCAGGTAGCAGAAAGAGACCTCTTTCCAGAGAACAAGACATGAACGGGTTTATTTACAGGAGACAATCAATTCTCGTGTGTCTAACCTAAAAGATAACAGTGAGATTCTTTCTGAACAACTCTCTAATGCTGACAGTAAAATTAACAGCCTAAAAATTAAGCTCCATCATACAAGGTAAACTCTGAGAGAAAAGATCGGGCAGGCCTCCGTCTTTTTTGTTTGGGTGACTCATCCGTTCCAGCCCGCAGACTTTGGAAAGCACAAACTGACTAGGGACAGAAGAGATCCCACAGCACAGCACAGCTGCTTTAACAAATCATGACCAGACTGCTTCTGAAGGCAGGCCCCTGATCCTGTTCCTCCTCACTGGACGGGACTTCCCAAATGGGACCTGCAGCTACCTCCACCAGTGTTCCTCTGTCAGCAGAGATTTGAGCCCCCTCCTGGGTCAGAGCTCACAGAGGGGAGAGGGAGCCCATCACCTTTGAGTTTGGGCAACCAGCTGTTCTGGCCTGCAGGCTTTGGAGAGCCCAAGCTGACCAGGGGTGGAAGTGGTACCCCAGCACAGCAAAGCCACCCTACAAAAACATGGCCAGAGTCTTTTTAAAGTCATTCCCTGACCACATTTCTCATAACTGGGTGGAACCTTTCAATCAGTGTCTCCAGCCACCTTCACTGCTGTTCTCTGGCTGAAAGAGGTTTCAGGCTTCCCTGGGTCAGAACTCCCAGGGGGAGGACCAGATTGTCATATTTGCTGTTTGCGAGACTCAGCCATTTCAGCCTTAGGGTTTCAGAGTGCCTGAGGCAACCAGGGGCTGAAGTGAACCCTAGAACAGCATAGCTGCTCTGCAAAAATGTGGCCAGAGTTCCTTTTTAAGCAAGACCCTGTTCTTGTTCCTCTTGTCTAAGCATGACTTCTCAACTTGCCTCCAGCCACCTCCTATAGGTGTGTCTAGATTGGCAACAAGTTTGTACCTCGGTGGTACAGAGCTCCCAGAGGAAGGGGCAGGCTATCATCTTTGCCTTTTCGCAAAGGCAAAAGTGATATCCTTAGGTATTGGAAACTCCGAGGCAAGTAGGGACTGTAGTGGACCCCAGCATACCACAGCAGCCCTACGGAAAAGTGGCCAGACTGTTACTTGGGTGCTGGTTTCCATATCTCCTTGATGGGCAGGTTCTCCCAGCCTGGATCTCCAGCCAACATTCCACTGGAGCCATTAAGCCAGTAGCAACTCAGCAATTCCCTGGACAGAGCTTCCAGGAGCAACTGAAATCCTCTCTGCCACTGACTCTGAAGTGGAACTGTCCTTGCTATTCTCAGAATATCAAGGGAGCAAAGACTCTAAGTACCATATTGGCACCTCCAAGAAGCTGAAGTTGCCAAGGAGCAAACCATTCCATCTCCCATGGGTACCATACACATCATCATCAGGGAACCCTGGCCTGAGCCCACAGCACAGACGCTTCATCCTGGGCTGATTGCACTAAGTAATCGCTAACGCACATCTCTCTGGGGTAGAGCCCACAGGAAACAAGGAAAGTGGTGGAGGAGTAGTCCAGCTGATGTGGAGCCCAGAGGGCAGGGACAGCTGTCTCTCTAAGCTTGCTCTTATAAATCACTTTACCCCAGCACTTTAGGAGTGCTGAGGTCAGAGTGGCCACATCTCATGTGCAAGATTGTCCAGCATAGATCAGGTCTGAGAGTTTCCTTCTTAAAAAAGGGGTCTTATTTTAAAAAGGAGTCTGGCCATGTCTTTGTAGAGCAGCTGTGCTGTGCTGGGGTTTCACTTTAGAGAGAGTTTTCCTCTCAGACCTGATCTATGCTGGGCAGTCTTGCACATGAGATGGGGCTGGTCTGACCTCAGCACTCCTTAGTCTGCTTGCCTCTCCCAGGGTCCCAGCCTGGCCACACCTGCTTACACCATAGCTTCTGTGCAAGTGGACTATGCCTGACCAGTGTAGAGCTGTAGCAAGGTGACCCCCACAGGCACATACCAGTTTGCACATTGCCTGTCCATACTGCAGCTCTTTATATGGAAACCTCCTACATTACTTTGTTGGTGTGTGTTTACACGGGACTTTCTTCATACAAGACTTCACTATACTTGCCCTACCAGCACAGAGGAGTGCAACACACACCCCAACCCATGCCAACTGCTATTGAAGATGGAGCCATGGCAGGCACAGGACAAAAAATCTCCACCTCCTCCAGCACCTTGCCCTTAAGCTAATGCTGTACAGAGAAAAAGGGACCCTCTTACACCCTGAGCAACCACTGTTGCTTGGCGGACTCACAGAAGGCACTGAGGCCTGTGCTGGCCAGCACCCCACCCCAAACCAATAGAGCTCCAGTACAACAGCACACAATAGGGGCTCCCTGGCCCTCAGCTGTCTTGCCTTCACCACTGGGTGAACTGGGTTCACTGGGTGAACCCGCGGGGTCACAGGCACTCTGCTGCAGCTGCAGCACTTTGGTCCCTCAGTACAGTGGACTCCAAACCTGGAGGAGCCAGAGAACAAAGCTGGGGCCGAATACAAGTTCCTCAGAGTTAAAGCACATGGTCTAGGAATTGGGAGCTGAACGTCGGTCCCATAAAATCTTCCAGAAACAAAGCTGAATACACCTTACAGCACAATCAAACCGTCAGGGTCATGAAATACAATAAAATAAAAATACCCTGTCTAAAAGTCAGCATCCTCAAAGGTTGAAGGTTGATAAGCCCATAAAGATAAGAAAGAATCTGTGCAAGAACACTGAAGACACAAAAATGCAGTGTACCTTCTTTCCTCCAAATGATTGCACTCTCTAGCAAGTGTTCAGAACTGGGCTGAGGCTGAGATGTCTGAAATGATACAAGTAGAATTCAGAATATGGGTAGAAACAAAGTTCACTGAGTGAAAGAAGTACATTGTAATCCAATGCAAGGAAGCTAAACATTATTGTAAAACATTGCAGGAGGTAACAGACAAAAGAGCCAGTGTAAAGAACATAGCTGACCTGATAGAGCTGAAAAGCACACTACAAGGATTTTCATAATGCAGTCACATGGTGATTGGGTGTGATTGTATTATGAAAATTCTTGTAGTGTGTGTGGGCTCCTGAGAGTGCCCTGTAAGCAGGTGTGGCCAGGCTGGGGCCCTGGGAGAGGCAAGCAGACTAAGGAGTGCTGAGGTCAGACCAGCCCCATCTCATGTGCAAGACCACCTAGCAGAATAAACTAAGCAAGGAGAGAATCTCAAAAGTTGAAAACTGGCTTTCAGAAATAAAACATGCAGACAAGAATGGGGGAAAAAGAATGAAAAGAAATAAACGAAACATCTGAGAAATATGGGATTATGTAAAGAGATCAAATCTATGACTGATTCATATACCAGAAAGAGATGAGAATGGAACCAACTTGGAAAACATATTTCAGAATATCATTAGAATATCCCCAAGCGAGCCAGACAAGCCAACATTCAAATTCAGGAAATCCAGAGAATCTCAGTCAGATATGCCATGAGAAGATCATCTCCAAGACACATAATCATTAGATTCTCCGAGGTCAAAAATGAAAGAAAAAATGTTAAAGTCAGCTAGGGAGAAAGGTGAGGTTACCTCCAAAGGGAAACCCATCAGACTAACAGTGGACAGCTCAGCTGGAACCCTGCAAGCCAGAAGAGATTGTGAGGCTCAATATTCAACTTCTTAAAAAAAATTTCAACCCAGAGTTTTATGTGTAGTCAAGCTAAGCTTCATAAATGAAGGAGAAATAAGATCCTTTTCAGAGAAGCAAATGCTGAGGGAATTCATTACCGCCAGACCTGCCTTACAAGAGCTCCTGAAAGAAGCACCGTGGAAAGAAAAAACCATCACCAGCCACTACAAAAACTCACTGAAGTACACAGACCAGTGATGCTAAAAACCAACCACATACACAAGTCTGCAAAATAACCAGCCAACAGCATAGATCAAATCCACATATATCATTACTAACCTTAAATGTAAATGGGCTAATGCTCCAATTGAAAGACACAGAAGGGCAAGCTGGATAAAGAACCATGACCCGTTCGTGTATCCTGTCTTTAAGAGACCCATCACACATGCAGTGCCACACATAGGCTCAATATAAAAGAATGGAGAAAAATCACTTAAGCAAATGGAAAATGGAAAAAAGCAGGTGTTGCAATCCTAGTTTCTGACAAAATAGATTTTATACCAATAAAGACTTTAAAAGGAAGAGAAAAACATTACAAAGGTGGCCCTGACCTTTGATAGATCTCAATATTGCTTAATATTAACCTGGGCTATCTTCATTGTTCAAACCAATAGGATAATTTGTGGAGGCTGGGGAGCTTCTCCCCTCTAGAGAGTCCCTGATCTCCCAAAATTTGGTTGAGATCTAAGGCTGATTTTCCTGTACAATTTCTTTTCTGAAGGGTTACTCACTTCCAACTCAAAAGGCAAATTTTCCTGCTTCCATAATGATGGAGAGCGGGCACCTCCTTTCTTGAGTTTCAGCTCGCTTCTGACAAGGAAGGTGAGTGTGAGCTTTTTCCTACTTCTCAAAGATGGTAGAGAGTGATCATCAGCCTGAGCATTATTTCCAGGTAGGTAGCTGAATTAGAGTTTTATCTTAAAAATGTTCCTTAATGACTAAAAGTGAAGATTACCAACCAGCTGATTTAATTTCTCCTTACCATTAGAACACTCGGTAATCATGTGAATCGTGCAGTTGTTTCTTTTGCCTATCTGTTTTCTTTGTTTATGTTTGGGGTTTTGTTGTTTCACTTTTCTCCCATGAAGTATGACCATCTCTTCCTGACTTGGTCAAATCCAAAGGAATATTCCAAATTCTGGGGAACAAGGCATCTGAATTGGCTAAAACTCCTGTAGCTGTAAAAAGAAAAAAAAAAATCCAATTAGCAGAAAGGATTTTTTAAAAAATTTTTATTGCATTTTTATTTCTTTTTTTTTCTTCCCAATTTATTTATTTTATTGCATTTTAGGTTTTGGGGTACATGTAAAGAACATGCAAGATTGTTGCATAGGTACACACCTG